GCATGGAAAAATGCAAACACGTGGACCCATAATCTGACACCAATTACCACACAATATTAGAAACAATGATCTGATTATCTTTGGAATGAAATTAAAGGAATGTCTCACAAACTCTCAAGAACATCAGGTTTCTGAATGTTAGATAAAGATAGACTTGAATGTACTAACACTGATTTTGTGATATTTATGACATCTCTCTGTCCTGTAAAAACCATTGTCTATGTAAAAAGAATAACCTTCTCTCTTTCTCTCTCTTACCCTCCCTCCTTCTCTCTCTCTCTCTTTCACTCCCACACTTCCTCCCTCCCTCTCTTACTCCCACCCGTCCTCCCTTTCTCCCTTTCCTCCTTCCCCTCTCTTCCCACCTTCTCTCCTTCTTCCTCTCTCTCTTTCCTCTCTCCCTCCCACTTTCCCTTCCTCTTCCCCATCTTTCTCTTTCCCACCCTCCCTGCCACCCTCTCACCTCCCCTCCCTCTCTCTCTCCTCTCTCCACCTCCGACCTCCGGCTCCTCACCTGTGATACCCAATGTCGATTCCAAGAGCCGCTTGAACGCCGCAGCTGCCTCGCGGTCTCGTCTGCTTTGCGAATGTATGACGCAAAAGTCCCACGTGGTATGCCTGATTTCCCGGCGCCTCTGGTCCATCCAATGTTCAATCTGTCGAAGGAGAAACCAAAACAGTCGATTAGAAACGCCTAAAGAAACTGGTGAAAACGTTGCGAAACACTTTTTCTCTCTTTCTCTCTCTTTGTGGCTCTTTCTGTCCCTGTCTCTGTCTTTGTTCCTGTTCTGCTTCTGCCTCGGTCTGTCTGTCTCTCCCTCCCTCCTTGGACAGAACCCTCACTTACAGTGAACACATAAAAAAATGAAAAGGGAGATAAACAGAAACAACATTCTCAAAGTGCTCGCCAACTCTGAGTGGGGAGAAACTGATCCCTCCCTCACCTACTCAATAGTGCGGATCCTCCCACGCCCACAAGGCAGAAGCTGAACTGAACGAGGCCTGTAGACTCATTATAGGCTCCCTAAGACCCACACCTATCAATAGCCGCCACAACTGACATAACACCCCCGGCAATACGAAGGCAAACAATAGCAAGAGCTGAAAAGACCAAGCAACAAACAGGCCCCAGACACACCTTGCACCATCACACTGAAAGTCCCAGACACCTTATATCAAGGATTAAGTTTTGCAGCAGTTCCGCCACTTACAGAAATAACCAAAGTAAAAGCTTGTAGGAAAAATACCTAGAAATTTCAATCAGAACCAGTCACCACAATAATAATCAATAATAACAACAATAATAATAATCAGCAATGCTAACAATAATAAACAATAACAATAAACATTAATAACAATCATCACAAGACCCCCAAAGAAAAACTAACAAAAGGAAATAAACTAAGCAGGAAGGAATGGTGTGCACTAAACAGGTTTCGCACTGGGTAAGGGAAATTGGGGGGGGGGGGAAACAACAAGTGAGGTGGGGCCCAAATAAATGGAAGGTAGTTGCATACCATCGGTAGGATCATGGCTCTGTCTTGTATGTTAATATATGACGGTCATGACCCTCCCTCCCTATCCCCCTAACTCCCTTCCTGTCTCCCTACTCCCTCCCCACTCCTTCCCCCCTCCTTCCCTCTCTCACCTGTTCATAAAGTGTGATGATAAAATTCCTCCAGGCGAACGCATATCTTCCGGTGGGAAGCTCGATCCTTAACTCCCTATTAATTCTCGTCCACCGTTGATGGTCGTTCATGGCCATGATGATGTTTTTTTTTCTTTTCTTTTTTTTTGCTCTGTTACCTGTGCACAAAATTTCATCGGGAATCATAAAGGTGATAAATAGATACAAAGAAGCACATAATCACACACACACACGTACACATACACATGGGCGGATGCGTGTTCCACATGGTTAAGCTGAAAAAACAATACACCATTTCCTAGAAAAAAAAATCTGTTATTAGCCTACTCTACCTAGTGAACGAAATATCTTCAAGATATTACCAAAGTGTATTGCACTTAATTAATCCTGAGAAAATGCAGTTGGTTATCCTTAACCTGAAATCACACGATGTTTAACGGGAAGAAAAATTTTCCTACCAGTGTCTAAATAATACACTAACCTGTATACAAGCATTATCCAGGATACAGACGGGCCTATCTAGCCTGACAACTATATAAATACAAAGGTATCCCAATATTTCTCGTATCCCATAAATGCAAAAAAACAACAAAAACAACGACAAAACTCACGAATCCAAGTTCTACGCCAAAGCAAATCTGCAAAACTCAAGGACGTCGTTGTTGACTTCCAGTGCGTAGTCGATGACTGGAAGCCAAAGACTAAATAAACAACTGGCTTTGCATTTGCCACATTCACAGATGAGTCTATACGGTTCGAACGGCGTGTACCTATTCACCCAACACACGAGAGAAACTGAGGCGAACTAGGAAAATAATTCTCTCTTATTGGGCAGAGACGGATCCCAGCGAC